GCTTGCTCACAGTTTCCCAGTTTAAACTGTGGTTAAGTCTGTCCCTGTGCTGTGAAATTAAGGAGTTTTAATTTCCTGTGTTGTGAAATTAAAGAGTTTTAATCATGTCTTCTGACTGCTGGTTGATGTTCATGGATGCATTCTGCTAGTCTTCTGCCTGTTTGTCCTACATAGTGACTGTTACATCTTTACACTGTGTGTCGTAGATGACTTCAGTTTTTTTTTTCCTTGGGCTGCTGGAACTTTTAGTTTACTTAACATGTTTATGAGTGTTTTAGTTGATTTGTGTGCTGTGGGATGCCATGTGGCTATGTTAATGTGTTGGTGGTTTCTGATAACAACTGCAATGATTTGCTTAACAACTATGGCAAAAAAGATTAGAAAATTGGGTGAAACTCACTTAACAATCAACTTTCTTAACGATGGAAATTCTGGTGCCAGTTGTGTATAGGGACTATTACTATTATTATTATTATTATTATTATTATTATTATTATTATTATTATTATTATTATTATTATTATTCGCAAAACCAGATGTTCAGACTGGATTTGGCTTTTTTGTCTACCTATCAAGTTCTTACCAAGAACCTGGGATAGGCAGATGTGGATGTTTGAATTGATGGTATTACAGATATCGTCGCAGGATGGAAGCTATTCCTAGTAAGGCCGCATTTTGCAATTGACTGATGGCGAATTTGTCAATGCCAATGGTGTTCAAGTGGTGCTCCAGTTGTTTTGGGATTGCACCCAAGGCGCCTAATACTATTGGTACTACCCTTGCTTGCCTTTGCCACAGTCGTTCTATTTCTGTTTGTAGGTCTTTGTATTTTGTTATCTTCTCCACTTCTTTCTCTTCTATTCTGCTGTCTCCAGGCACTGCCATATACTACTACTACTACTACTACTACTACTACTACTACTACTACTACTATTATTATTATTATTGATTTAATCTTCAATTTGATTCACAGTCTGGGACTAATAAAAACTTAACAGTTGAAGTCCTAACCAAGGACCTAAAAGCTGTTAAGGGGATGTCTGAGTATATAGGCAGTTCCAAGTAGGAACAATCGCTCAATTTCAATTTGCAGATTGTGGTATTTCGTTATTTTTTCTAGTTGTTTCTCTTCAATTCCTGCATCACCTGGTATTGCACAATAGTTTTTCTTTTCCACAATAGTGATGTCAGGCATGTTGTGAGTCAGAGGTCTGTCTGTTTGGATTCAAATGTCCCACAAGATCTTGACCTGTTCATTTTTGAGAACTTTGTCAACTTGGTGTTCCCAGTAATTTTTGCTGCATTCGAACCCAAACTGCTGCCAAAGCTTCCAGTGTATGATTTGGGCAACTCGATCCTGCTGTTGTAGATAATCAGTTTGTGAGATTTTGTTCCAGCCACTGATAAAGTGATCCACTCTTTCATCTGTCTGATTGCATAAACAATATTTGCTGTCATTACTGACATGTTGAATTTGGAATTGGTCCGCAGGGCTTGTTCTTAGGCAATCAAAATGAAGCCTTCAGTTTCTTTCTTCAGCATCCATATCTCAACTATCCCCATGTTAGCTTTGTATCTATTTTTTCTTCAATGTCCTTCAGGTATTGACTGTGCTTAGACTTCTTTTTCCTCTTAGAAACTTGATGCTCAATTGTTTTCTTTCGATATTCTGCTTTCAAGCTCACCATTTTCAAGAGGTTTCCCTTGATGACCTCCTTCAGCTGAGGGTCTTTTGCTTTTTTAATGTAGTCATTTAAGCCATATTTTTTCCTCTTCCACAGTTTGTTTAACCTGTAAGAGTCCTCCACTATCCTGAGATCTAGGCAAATACAATTGATCAATATCACTTTGTGGGTGTGGAGCATGGTACATAGTTATTAGTTTTCTAATCTTTTGATCCAAGTTATGAAGTTCTAGCTGAGTTCAATCAATTATTCCATCTGAGTATCATATTACAGGCACTGCCCAGGGGTTAATTTATAATAATTCCTCCACTTAGCTTTGATCTCAAGAGTTTCTGGACCTGTTTTATGTATTGTGTTGAAGCAACTTCCTTGACTTGGTTGTGCAATAAGTCAGAGGTTTCCAAAATTCCTAAGTACTTGTACCATTCTTGTGGTATTACTGCTTTTATCAACTCTTCATTATCAAGTTCTACTAAACTCTGCAATGCTTTTCAGCAATGAGCTCAATTCAGCTTTTGTTTTTCCAAACAGTTTTAAATCATCCATGTAGAGCAGGGGTGTCAAACTGCCTGCCTGCAGGCCAGATGCATAATACCGAAACTGCATCTACCCCAGCTCCGGCAATGGGGGAAAAGTTGCGATACATCGCGATGCGTCACATGACGTTGCAAGTTTGACATCCCTGATGTAGAGCAAATTTCAAATGTTCAACCCTTTTTTAGCCAATTCATAACCATCATAAGCATTTTGAACCATTTGTTCAAAATGCTTATTAGTGGCACCATTGAAAGTATGAATAACAGAGGTGATTTCAACTTCAAGTTCTTCTCCACAGGTCATCAACTGTTGTTGTTGTTGTTGTTAATCTTCAATTCAATCCATAGTCTGGGATTGGTAAAAACCTAACAGTTCAAGTCCTAACCAAGAACCTACTATTAAGGTAGCATCTGAGTATAGAGAAATTTCTGACTAGGGTGGTTTTTTGCAAAGTCAGGATATTCAGGTCTAATAAATTCAAAATGTCCATGTATCTAGGCAGCCCTTTTGATATTGCTCCAAGGGCTCCCATTACTATTGATATAACTATTGAATTCCTCCACAATCTCTCAACTTCAATTTGCAGATTGCGGTATTTTATTATTTTTTTCTAGTTGTTTCTCATTATTGTTGTTGTTGTTTTTGTTGTAATCAGTCTCTAAACATTGGTTATCATAGCAGGAAGCAAGTGGTTATTCTATTCTTAAACCAACTACAGTCTTGTTACATGCACCTCCAGGTTCAGTTTATGTTCAGTTCAGCTCACCTAGACCTGATGATAGCCATACTCAAACCACTTTCAATCAAACACTAAGGTACAACTGGTTTTTTTAAAATATAAAGATACCTGGTGAATTTGAAGTAACAGCAAAATTATACCAGTTAAATCAAATATTTGCTCTTTCTCTCTCACATACAAACACCCATCCACAATTACCCATGTCTTTCTCAACTAGGCTGCCAGAGGGACAGAAGTTATCAAGTCTGGATCCAAAGAGTCAAGGAATGGCCAAGCTTCAGGACCCCTTTTATCTGTGAAAGTCCTTGCTTTGTTGATGCAGAACACTGGCAGCTAATTTTACCTTTTTTCCAAGTCTGGTACCTGTTGATGGGATTTTCACTGGAACATTTTTAAAAATGTTCTGCTCAAGAACAAGCTGTTTGAACTAATGCAGTCAAGTCTAGAACTGAAAAATCAACAAATGATTTACACTGCAGACTATGCAACAAAATGCAGAGGAACAGTAGTGTTGAAAGAAAAATCAGGTGACTCCTTAGGAAAGAAGGTTCTTGTTTACTGATGGGCAGAACCAGCAACATCATGCAGTTTTGGGACAGCTGACAAAATGGAGTTGAGAGCGGGTGGGTTTTTATACCTTCTTTGGGCTTTGTATTTGAGATGCCTGTTCCTGTGCAAGAACATGTCCTTTAATATTCTAATGGCTGTTGCCAGATTCCTATGGGGTCATGTAGGGGTCATGGCTGGCTCTATAAGGAAAAGGGGAAATGCAAGTCCTAGGTGTTTCTCTGAGCTAATCTTGTCAACTTTTGGCTTGCCTAATTGTGTTGCTTATCTGGAGTCTCTTTTTGTTCTTTGCTTATGAATAGAATGGCCCAGTCTTTCTGAATGGATCACAGTCTCCTAAAGACTGGCCTCTTCGTGTTTTTTTTCTTGAGGCTGGGGCTGCTTTCTGCCTTTGTTAAGATTTTTGTCTCCATTTCTCCATTAGAAGAAATATTCTACCCTGCCTCTTTTAATATTCCTCAAAATATTTCATTCTTGGGGGGGGAGTGCTGACTTCCTACAGTAGATTGTATTAAGATAGTCCTTGTGTCACCCTCCGTCCGTCGGCGTCCCGAGGCGAGAAAAACGACAGGAACGCAGGAACATGGTGCTAGCAGGGTGGTTTATTCCCCAGCCAAAATAAAGTTAGCACTGGGAGTGGCTTGCTCCCAGTGCTGTATATCGAGATGCCACACCCCTTCCCTCCGCCCCCAGCAGCAAGCCAACATCCGCCTATATCCTATAAATGCCTCTGGAGCCCGGACCCACCCCTCCCTCGTGATGTCCCGCCGAGCGTTTGGCAGCTGCACCCTGCCCTTGTCCCGGCTAGTCCCTCTGCAGTCTTGCTCATGCAGGCAGGGGTCATGCTGGCAGCAGTCGTTGCTGGGCCCTCCCCCGACATCCGCGGTCCTCCCCGGCTCTCTGCGGCTTTCGCTCGCATGCGGCCTCCGTGCGCACGCTCCCCTCAAGCTGGGCAACGCCGCCTGAAGCTTCTGCAGCTCGAGCGAGGTAGGCGGCGGCCTGCGGGCTGGGACGAGGTCGGAGGAGAGCCGGGCGGCTGCGGTGTCGGCTGCTACGGCTTTCTGCTGCTGGGCGGCTGTGGCGGCTGCGGCGGCGCTCGGCTGCTGCGGGTGTCACGGGTCTCCCCCCCCAGCGAATGGCAAGCCCCGTGGGGCTTGACATGCGGCCCCCTCTACCATGGCTCCTCCTGGAAGAGAAAGGGACGTAGTTGAGGTTAAACCCATACCTGTGACGGCCCCTGGCCTCCCTGGATGTTTATGGTGGAATGCCCGCACCAGACGGGGGGCATGGACATCCCCTTCCCCCACCCATGAAGCGTCGGACAGGGGATACCCTTTCCACCGAATGAGGTACTGCACTCCTCCACGGCGAGTCCGGGAGTCAAGCACCTCTTGTACCTCGTACTGGGATCCGTTGACCGGTCCCGGCGTGGACTGCAACGGGGCCTTAGCAGCTAGCTTTAGTAGGCTTGCATGGAATACGGGATGTATTTTCCCCAACAAGGGGGGCAGTCGCAGGCGTACGGTTACCGGGTTAAGTACCCGTGTTATCTGGAACGGCCCTATGTATTTGGGACCCAGCTTCCTGCAGGGTACCTTCAATCGGATATATTTTGTCGACAGGTACACCCAGTCCCCCACCCGAAAGGGCCTGTGTTCCCCCCTCTTTTTGTCAGCCTGCGTTTTAACCGCAGCCTCGGCCTGCCTTAGGGCACCTTTTACTTTTTCCCATAGGTCTGTTACCCGTGTGATCCAGGTAGGTGGGGAGTGGGGGGTGACGGTCCCCTGGGGCCACTCGGGGATTGACTTACAATCACAATTGAGCCTAAAGTTGCTGTTGCTACGTGAGACAGTTGTTAAGTGAATCTGGCTTCCCCATTGACTTTGCTTGTCAAAGTCAGTTGCCAAATGCCTGAATTTTATCACATGAGCATAAGAATGCTGCAATGAACTGGGCATCTCCCAGGTAACCGTGATGTTATCAGCTAATCCTTTCAATCCGAAAACATCTCAGTGCTTTTGACACGTGCAATGCAATCTCTCCCTATTATTCTTTTATCCCAATTTGTTATCTTGATTGTCCTAGAAAAAAGAGTCCACAATACAAACTATAGTGGATCCATCATAAAATTCAATTATTTTCTGGAAGCCATTTTACAGTGGGTCAGCATTCTACCATTGTTTTGTGAAAGCAGTCAAAAAACCCCACACACTGCTAAATAAAACTTCCTTAATGATCTACATTAGTTTTGCACAATACAGTGAATTCAGATTGGAAATAACCACAGTTCCCAGCTGAAATCCTTGATTTTGCAAATCTAACATATTGGGAGATACTAGATTGGGAAAGGCTAATCTGACATCCCTAGCTCTTAATTTATCCACTGACTCCCGAAGAAGCAAAATAGGTCTCAATAACATGTTCTTAAGATTGGCCAGAGATGAGATTTCCTTCCACAGATTTTGAGAATGTGAGATTGGGGAAGGCTAGTTTAGAGATTTAGCCAAATAAATGGCATCAAAGAGGCCACCATTTAATTAAGCCAAATCTCCCACTCCCAATAAGCTATTTTAAATTAAAACCTTATGGAAGGAGAATATCTCAATACCATTAAGTCTTTAAGAATAAACATTTTTAAAAAGTCTTTTAAGAATAAACATTATTTTCTGTAGCTGTGGTAATTTTTGAAAGCTACACCTATTTCTCTGGACCGGCGGAAAAGCAAGCATTGTCCCCAGTGTCAATTAGGGAATACAAAAACATGTTTATGAGAAGTTGCTAGGAAGCCAGGAATAAAGCAACACCTTAAAAGAAGATATGAGTATCTTCCTTCGATATACATCTCAAAGACCATCAGGAGTAACAGTTAAAGTCTCTAGAAATAAAAAGACATGGCATCATTTTTCCCCGTAATGACTTGGACATCCTTGGTATCTATGATACATAATTGATCCTTTGCAAAACTAGGGTTGTGTAATCTCTGATGTTTCAACTTCATGCAATTGTATTCGTGTCGTACATCTGCAAAAGGATATAATCCACAGCTTATTGGTTGAGATAATCACAAGGTATTTTAATTAGCACAAAATATAAAGGGCAGCGGTAGCAGAAAAATACCAAGGCAAGAAGGGAAGCATATCTATAAAGAAAATTGAAAGCCAATAGGGAAAAGTCTTCTATCCCACATTTTTACAGCAGCCACTCAAAGGCAGGAGAATGGTGATGCTACTATTATTCTTTATCACTGTGATTCTGTGCTTGATACTTTCTTTTCTGAAACAGTTCAGTAAACGCAAAGACCACCCCCCAGGACCTTCTCCAATTTCCTTGATAGCAGGAAGACTGTTGGAAGGGACTTTCTTGTCAGAGAAGACATTAATAGAGGTATGTCTTTTAAAATGCTTAATCAAATAACAATACAGAGAAGGGGATCTTGACAGACTTGAACACTATCCAACAAAATGTTGCTCGATAGTGAGAAATATATTTATTTAGGCAAATACACAGATATAATATAGGTAGTACCTGGTTCAGCAGTGGTACTTCTGAAAGGGACAAGGCTGTCCCGGTTGACCACGCAACAAGCATGAGCCAGCAGTATGCTGAGTCAATGCAGTTTAGGGCTGCATCGATAGAGCTATAATATCAAAATCACACAAAGTGATAGCAATAGCACCACTTCATAGTACTTTTCAGCACTCTCTGGGTGGTTTACAGAGTCAGCATATTCCCCTCAGCAATCTGGGTCCTCATTTTACTGACCTTGGAAGAATGGATGAGTCAACCTTGAGCCAGTCATGATTGAATTCCTGACAGTGAGCAGGGGTAGCCCGCCATACTGTATTCCAACAACTGCGCCGCCATGGCTCCTGTGCCACCAATGCAGCATAGAGCATAGTGATAATCCTAATCTATGCTGCAGTGGTCAGATTGCATCTGGGATGGATGGGAAAGAATGCAAAGAAGAGCAGCAAAGATTGGCATGTTTAGAGAAGGCTAAGAGCTCTTGATATCACAGAGTAGAGGGCTGGATTCCTTCTCCTTAGCACTTGATTTGTCCCAGTGCTAGTGTAGTAATCAGTGCTCAGTCATTGCAGGGTGCAAATAATGGCCGCTGACACGCAGCAGTTTATTCTTTATATACAGTATTACAAGCAGGAAAAGGAATAACATGGCAACAGCCCAGCAAGAGCACTTCATTGGTTAATCTACTCACCAATGCTTAAGGATAGAAAGCAAGAGGCCAGAAAGAGGGAAAAGTTGGCATTGTTGGTGCGAGCTGTTATCAGACAAGCAAGGTCACACAGAGCTACGCACTTTCACATCGCTATGGTGATGTGAAGGGGGAGATAGATGCAGAGAGGAGGGGCACACGCTAGGAGGGACAGTTTTCCGATCACCACCTTTATCTGTCTCTCACCTCTACAGCTAGACTTTCAGGAATTCTCTAGCATTCTTGGAATTGGCTTGGTCTTGGAGGCTCACAGTTTCCCAACTGAAACGATGGTTAAATCTGTCCATGTGTTGTGAAATTAAGCAGTTTTCATCATATCTTCTGACCGCTAGTTGGTGTTCACAGATGTTCTTTGCCCCACTCCATGGTTGTGACTATGGGCAAGCTGTCACCCAAATTTTGATCATGTTCTCTCAGTGGGGCTGCAATGGATATAACTTTGGACCTGAGCCATCAGTCCCTTCCTTCAGTGCCATCATAACTTTGAACATTCACTGAATAAATGGTCATAAATTGTATTCTGCTGTAATATCCAATCAACATGAATATGTGTTTGACATTCATAAATTATGATTAATAGTTTATTGTAGTTGTTGAAGCATTGGCTTTTGAAATATTGAACAGATAAGAGAATTGTGGGAATAAAGATCAAAAGAGAATTTTATAGATTAAAGGCATTTGCTGATGATTTGATATTATTTTTAGAGGATCTATTGAAAGGAGCAGAAATATCAGTGGGGAAACTAAAAGAATTTGGTATACTAATAGGTTTCAGATTAATAATCAGAAGTCAAAGATGTTAACAAAAATATGTAAATAGAGAATCAAAGAAAATTAAACTAAAGGAGTTAAAACAGTTTATGTCCAGGATATGAGGGGTCTGTACATATTTTCTCAGCCCTCCTTCTGAGTTGTGCAATATACAAGTCCTCAATGGAAGGCAGGCTGGTGCCAACTGTTTTTTCTGCAGTCCTAACCCTCCATTGAAGTCTATATCTGTCCTGTTTAGTTCCTGTACCAAACCAGACAGTTATAGAAATACAAATGAGAGATTCAAGAATTCCTCGGTAGAACTGTATCAACAGTTTCTGGGGCAGTCTGAACTTTCTGAGCTGATGCAGGAGGATCCTTAGAGTAATTGTTAAATAGAAAAAAGAGTAATGGAGAGAGCATACTGCCCTGGGGGGCAGGGGAGTTGCCTGTGATAGTATGGGGGTATTTGATGCGATTTTCCCAAGTTTCATCTATTTACTCTGGGACTCTGCAATGGTCATAATATGAGACAGTTGCCAAATGTCAGAATTTTGATCTCGTGACTAAGGGGCTGCATAAGTGTGAACAACAGTCATACTGTAAGTCACTTTTTCAGTGCCATTGTAACTTCAAACGAATTTTGAAAATCAAGGACTATCTGTAGTTTGTACTACAGTTCCTTCAAATTATGCAAAAAGCTTTCCTGCTGTCATACATTAAAAAAATGCATTCCAGAGTCCATGGATCCTGGAGAATACCATCCTCAGCCACAATTCTACCTTTTTTTGCCAACATGTTTTTTTCTCTGTTGGGAAATAAAAGAGCTGTACAATAGCTGCTGCTCCTACTGTTACAATTATACTCTCAATGTCATTAGTTGATTAAAAATTATTCTTGAAAAATCACAGTTATAGTACTAGAAGTCACATAAGGCTGTTGAATAAACATTCAACTCCAAGGGTGTTGGAAAATAAAACAAGTTTTATTAAAGTTGAAAGAGGGGCACATAACTAAGGCAGAATATCAGCAAATAGCCCGAGCCTGCAAAGATGAAGTGAGGAAAGCTAAGGCTCAAAATGAACTAAGATTTGGGACAAAAGTCAAAAATAACAAAAAAAGCTTCTTTCAACATGTAAGAAATAAGAAAAAAGTTAAGGAAATGATTGGTCCATTAGTGGGAGAAAGTGGCAAGAAGGTGACAAGCAATTCTGGAGAAAGAAGAACTATTCAACTCGTTTTTGCATCCGTATTTACACAAAGGGAAAAAACAATCCAACTTATCAAAAAAGTACTGTAAAAAACAGATTAGAAACACAAGTTAAGAAGGGCAAGAAAATGGTAAGTGAGCACCTGTTCACCCTAGATGAGTTCAAATAACCAGGACCAGATGGACTACACCCCAAGGTTCTGAAGGAACTGGCAGATGTGAACTCAGAACCACTGAACTATATCTTTTAAAGATTCTGGAGCACTGGGGAACTACCAGAGGACTGGAAAAGAACTCATGTAGTTCCCATCTTCAAAAAAGGGAAAAAAATAGATCCAGGAAACTACAGACTTATCAGCCTGACCTCAATGCCTGGGAAGATCTTGGAAAAGATCTCAATCAGTGAATCAGCAAACACCCTAGAAGCA